AAACAGCTGGGAGTACACCAAGTTCAGCACCATCCTTTTGATTAATTTTGTCTTTAAAAAAAAAAAGGCAAAACCACCAAAGCTTTTGACCAGTCTTTTCATCTTAGGACTCCCCAAAAGAAAACAAATCACTGACAACTGCCCATTTTGGGGTATATTCTTAGGATAAATTACAATATAACATTTATTAATAATGTAAAAAAATAAAATATCACCTTGTTCCCAGGGAATGAGATGTATATCAAGATAAACCATAGTTAAAGTAGAGCCAATAGGATTAAAAACCAGCTGATTAAAATAAAACAGTAACTAAATCAGATTTCATAAGCATTTGCGTTATAATTATGATCCCTGAAACTCTGGTTTCAAGAGTGTTATATTCGACAGTAACTATCTCCAACAATTTTCACATACCTGAAGATATACTGTGGCAATTTATCTTTCAATAAATGTCTACGTAATTCTCCATATTAATAGAATAAAGGTTCTGGGTACAGTGGTGCATGCCTGTAATCCCAGCAACTCAAGAGGCCATTTGAGGCCAGCCTTACAATTTAGTGAGACCCTGTGGCAAAAGAAAAAAAATTAAATCTTTTATAGTAATGTTCAAAAGAATCCTAATAATATATAATTAAAAAGAACAAATAAAGGCTAGGGTTGTGGCACAGTGGTAAGTGCTTGCCTGACATGTGTGAGGCACTGAGCTCGACCCTCAGCACCACATAAAAACAAATAAATGAAATAAAGGTAAAAAAAAAAATAAAAAATTTTAAATATCCTATTTAAAATGTTGAAGGGGGAAAAAAAAAAAGAAAGAAAGAAAGGCTAGGCATGGTGGTGCACACCTGTGCACCAGCAACTTGGGAGGCTGAGGCAGGAGGATCACAAGTTCAAAGGCAGCCTCAGCAACTTACTGAGGCCTCAAGCAATTTAGCAAGACCCTATCTCAAAGTAAAAAAGGGGTATATTCTTAGGATAAATTACCATATAACATTGTTATAGACCTAAAAAAATGGAAATATATACCATGTCCATGTTCAATATTGTTAACATGTCAATCCTCCCCAAATTGATCTACAGATTCTATATTATTTTTACCACTGGGATGTGACCCAGTGGTAAAAAGCCCCTGGGTTCAATCGCTGGTACCAAAAAAATGGGGGGGAATTTTTTTTTAAACAGCTAGAGATGCAGATCAGTGATAAAGTACCCCTGAACTCCTGAGTTCAATCCACAGTACCATAATAATACTAATAATAATACAAAATAAAATTAAAATTAAATTTAAAAAGGAGAAAAACAGTATGATCATTTCAAAGATACAGAAACGACATTTGACAAAATATAACACTCACTCATGATAAAAACTCACAGCCAAATAAAAACAAGGAAACTTCCTCAACTTGTAAAGAACATCTCTGAAAAACCTACAATTAACATAACTAACAGTAAAATAGTGTGTTACCTCTTAAACTAGTAGTAGAACAAAGGTGTTCACTCCCACCATTTCTATTAAAAAATGGTTGCACTAGAAGTGCCAGTCAGTACCATAAAGCAAGAAAAAGTAAATACAGTGGGGAAAAAAAAACAATAAAACTTCTACATTTGAATATGACATGATTGTTTACACAGAAAATCCTAAGGAATCTTTAAAAAACAAAAATAAAACTAGAATAAGTAAATTAGCAACTTGCAGGATACAAGGTCAATATAAAAAACATTATATTTCTATGTACTAGCAAATTTTCTGGACAAAGAAAATTTCAAATATTTATGTACAATAGAATAAAAAGTACTAGGAGGGCTGGGGTTGTAGCTCAGTGGTAGAGTGCTTGCTTGGCACACGAGGCACTGGGTTCTATTCTCAACACTACATAAAAATAAATAAAGATGGGGCTGGGGATGTGGCTCAAGCGGTAGCGCGCTTGCCTGGCATGCGTGCAGCCCAGGTTCGATCCTCAGCACCACATACAAAAAAAAAGATATTGTGTCCATCCGTAACTAAAAATATTTTTTAAAAAAAGAAATGCTAGGGGCTGGGATTGTGGATCAGTGGTAGAGCACTCGCCTAGCATGTGTGAGGTTCAATCCTCAGCACCACAAAAAAAATAAATAAATAAAATAAAAATTAAAAAAAAAATGCTAGCAATAGGTGAATATGATCTACACATGAAAATTATAAAACACTGCTGAGAAAAATTAAGGGAGACCTGAAAAATGGAAATATATACCATGTCCATGTTCAATATTGTTAATATGTCAATCCTCCCCAAATTGATCTACAGATTCTATATTACTCCAATCACAATTCCATTAGGCTTTTCTGTAGAAACTGACAAACTGATTCTAAAATTAACATGGAAATGTGAAGAGCCTACAATGTCCAAAATCTCAGAAAAAAAGAAAAACATAAAAAGTAGGAGGACTACCTTACTTCAAAACTTACTACAAAGCTACAGTAATCAAAATGGTGTGATACTGGTATAGAGAGCCCAAGAAAGAGATTCACCCTTATATACGGTCATTTGATTTTCAAGAAAAGTGCCAAAGCAGTTTAAGAGGAAAAAATTTTTTCAACAAACATGCTAAAATAACAGGATACCCATTAGGAAAAAAAGTTAAATCTCAACTCTACACACAATTATTTAAGATGGATCATAGAACTAAATGAAAAAGCTAAATCTAAAAATGTTCAGAAGAAAACAGAACATTTTTATTACTTGGGCATAGGCAAAGGTTTTTTAAGGGATCACAGGAAACAATTACCATAAAAGAAAAAAATGCCAAATTTTATTTCATCAAAATTTTAAATGACAGGGCTGGGGTTGTGGCTCAGCGGAAGAGCGTTTGCCTAACACGTGCGAGGCCCTGGGTTCGATCCTCAGCACCACATAAAAATAAATTAATTAATTAAAGATACTGTGTCCAACTACAATTAAAAAATTAATTAATTTTAAAAAATGTTTTAAATGACAGTCAGGCATGATGGTACATGCCTATAATCCCAGCAACTCAGAAGGCTGAGGCGGGTTAACCTCACTAAATTGCTAAGGCTGGCATTGAACTTCAATCTTCTGCCTCAGCCACATGAGTTTTGACGGGATTACAGGCGTGTGCCACCACACCTGGCAATTTTTTTAAGTGGTAAAAAAAATAAAAATAAAAATCAACAGGGGCTGGGATGTGGCTCAAGCGGTAGCGCGCTCGCCTGGCATGCATGCGGCCCGGGTTCGATCCTCAGCACCACATACAAAAACAAAGATGTTGTGTCCGCCGATAACTAAAAGATAAATATTAAAATTCTCTTTCTCTCTCTCTCTCAAAAATAAATAAATAAATAAAAATAAAAATCAACAAACACTTCACTTCACATAGGAAGATATCCAAATGATCAAAAACAAAAAAAAAAAAACATAAAATTTTTTAACATCATTAATCATCAGAGAAATGCAAATTAAAATCACAGTGAAAGCCAGAGTGGTGGCTCATGCCTGTAAATCCCAGCAACTATGGAGGTTGAGGCAGAAGGATCACAAATTCAAGGCCAGTCTCAGCAACTTAGTGAGATCTGGTCTCAAAGTGAAAAATAAAAAGAGATGGAGATAAGGCTGGGGTTGTGGCTCAGTGGTACAGCATTTGCCTGGTATGTGTGAGGCACTGGATTCAATTCTCAGAACTGCATATAAATAAATAAATAAAATAAAGGTCCATCAACAACTTAAAAAAAATATTTAAAAAAAAAAAAAAAAGAGGTGGGATGAAGCTCAGTAGTAGAGCGCCCTTGGGTTCCATCCCCAGTTACACATACACACAAAAAAAAAATTATGCTGAATGAAAGATGTCTCACTTAGATGAGTACTTTGTATATGAGTTCATTTACATATTCCATTTGTATAATCACAACAGTGGCTGCCCAAGGAGCAAAAGGCATGAAATAACTTTCTAGGAGGATGGTAATGTTCTGTATCTTGGTAAGGATTTTAAGTTTCACAGGTGTATGCATTTGTAAAAACTTATCACATGGTACCCTTCGACTTATGCCTTTCCCTGCATTCACCCCCAAATATATACATATAAATATTAAACTCTAGTTAATGTTATACAAGCAGAAATATTCAGAACTAAAAAATATTGATGTTTGCAACATACTTTGAAGTACGGATAATGAATAGAGAGAGGGATGAAAAGACAGATATGTGATAAAGCAAATATAATAAATGATAATCATGGACTCTAGATGATTGATACAAATACATGTATTCATCATACAATTCTTTCAACCTTTCTGTACTTCTGAATACTTTATAATAAAACATTGCAGGAAAAAAAAAATTTATATTTATTTTTTAGTTGTAGTTGGACACAATACCTTTATTATGTTGCTGAGGATTGAACCCAGGGCCTTGCACATGCTAGGCGAGTGCTCTACTGCTGAGCCACAACCCCAGCCCCCAGAAAATATTTTTAATTATGAGTTACCACATGGATAGCATACACAGATTAGTCAATAATAACTGAAACTATTACCACTAACTAGGTGATTACTATGATGGGTATTCAAAACAACCCCACAGCAATCCTACAAGACAGGCAGTATTATTCCCATTTCTTGATGGGGAAACTGACATATAGAAAGACTAAGGAACTAGTTTCAACAGCAGATAGCTACTAAATGATATAGATTCAGGACTCTTAACTGGGGTTTGACTCCAAGAGGCTGTTCTATCCATCACATCACACTACCATAACAATGAACTCCAATGATCTGGCCTAATTATTTTTTCTTTATAATGCAACAGAATATTATGTAATTGAAATGTAGAAATAAGTGGGTTAATGGCAAATTTGGAAATCCTTTACACCATCATTCCATTATAGTGAGAGAGGCTATAAAACGGCTGTGCTAATCTGGTCTCCTTTCAACAATATCAAGTGTGTTTTATGATATTAGACATGAATGCAACAACCATGATACAATTTTTTCAAACGGAATTCTTTACCTCATTTCTCGTTCTTCATGTTGAGCGATAAGGTTGCTATAAAAATTCTCCAATGTCACTTTGGTCATTGTCACCCTTTCCTTTGTATGATTACTCATGGAAGAGCAAGGTGTTGAGCCTGTCATTGCCATGGCTTCTAGAAACAAAGAAGAGGTTTTACTTTTAGAGTTAGAATCCACTCTCCTACCTCACTGGTAAAAATGTAAATTGGTATAAGTTTTCCAGAGAACAAGCAGATAACATGTAACAAGTCAAACAAACAGAATTTTTTAAAATATTTTTTTAGTTGTAGATGGACACAATATCTTTATTTATTTATTTATTTATTTTAATGTGATGCTGAGAATCGAACCCAGGGCCTCACGCAATGCCAGGTAAGCGCGCTCTACCACTGAGCTACAATCCCAGCCCCAAACAGAATATTTGATGAAAATAAATACATATTAAGGTTCTGTGACTGAAAAACTCCATACTTAGGGTATAAGGACTAGAGAAATGACCACACAGGCTCTTGAGGGGACATACACAGGATGTGCTTTACAGAAAGGATGTTCATTATGCCATCATTTGTGTTAAGAGAGGTTGGAAGCAATTCAGTAAGGAAATAAGTAAATAAAATGCAGTGAATGCATACTAAGAAATACCATGCAACACAGAAGCAACTCTACTTGTACTTACAAGCCACATGAACATACCTTTACAACACAGTATTACATTTTCAGAAAGAAAAAGAAGATACCAATACGACATACATAAATTAAGTACATACAGTAAACCAGGTGTGGTGGTGCACTCCTGTAATGCCAGTGATTCTCTCAGGAGGCTGAGGCAGGAGGGTGGAAAGGTCAAGGCTAACCTGGGAAACCTAGTGAGACTCTGTCCCAAAATAAAATAAAAAGGGCTGGGGGGTATTGCTAAGTGGTAACAGGCCTGAGTTTAATCCCCAGGACCACAAAAGAAAAAAGACGTAAAATATATTTGTAATACCCTTTGTAATATTGTTTCATTTATAGATCTTTAACTTATAAATTCAAATAATTAACAAATATTTATCAAATACCTTAAGGCTATGTCAGAGCACATATATATGTACAAATAATCATTTTAGTCACAGATTTTGTTTTACTGTAGAAATTGGAAATCTTGAAGAAATTAAAATAGATCCATAAAGATTCACAAGTAATGGGTTTCAATGCAACATTACAATGACAAAGAAAAACCAGAAATAATGTGAATATATAACAGAACTGGAAGTATGAAAAAGCCTAAAATGAAATAATAAGACAATTAAAATATATTCTTGGGCTGAGATTCTGGCTCAGCGGTAGAAAGCTTGCCTAGCATAAGCAGGACCCAGGTTCGATTCTCAGCAACACATAAAAATAAAGGCATTGTGTTGTGTCCATCTACACCTAAAAAATAAATATAAAAAAAAAGAGTTAAAAAAAAAAAAAAATATATATATATATATATATATATATATATATATATATATATATATATATATTCTATTTTGTGGTACAAGGGATTAAATTCTAAGTTAAATCCCCAGCCTTTTTTTTTTCCCCTTAAATCTTATTTGAGACAGGGTTTCTCTAAGTTTCGAAGGTTGGCCTTGAATCTCCATCCTCCTGCCTCAGTCTCTCCTGTAGCTGGGATTAGAAGCATGAGCCACTGAGGACTCAAGGTTTTGCCTCTTAATACTTAGCGGATTTTTAAATTGTTTCATGGATTAAATTAAAGCATATAAGGATTGTGCAAACACTTGCTATTACTAAGAAAAAAGGCTTAACATTAGCAGTATTTAAACAAGATACTAAGGTGAAAATCATGTTTTAAAAAATCCCACCAGTCACAGTGACACATGCCTGCCAAGCAGCTTGGAAGACTGATACAAGATGATCACAAGTTCAAGGTCAGCCTGAGTTAACTTAACAAGACCCTCTCTCAAAAAAAAGTAAAAAATAAATAAAAGGGGCTGGGGGTTGTGGCTCATGGTAGAGTGCTCACCTAGCATGCACAAGGCCCTGGGTTCGATCCTCAGCACCATATAAATGTAAAGATACTGTGTCCACCTAAAACTTAAGAATAAATATTTTTAAAATAAATAAATAAATAAAAGTGGGGATGGGCTGGGAATGTAGCTCCTTTTTACTGAGATTGAACCCAGGGGTGCTTTACCACTGAACTATATCTCCAGCTGTTTTATTTTTATCTTGAGATAGGGTCTTGCTAAATTGCTGTGGCTGGCCTTGCACTTGTGATCCTCCTGCCACAACCTCAGGAGTCACTGGGATTATGGGTGTACACCACCACACCTGGCAGTGTCAAACATTTTGATTCATGAGGTGCAAAAATGATCAGTAAGCCAGGCATGGTGACATGGCCCTGTAATTCCAGCAACTTGGGAAGCTGCATCAGGAAGATAGTCTCAGCAACTTTTTGAAACCCTCAGCAACTTAGCAAGACCTTGTCTCAAAATAAAAAATAAAAAGGACTAGGAGTACAGTGTAGAGTGCCCTGGGTTCAATTCCCAATACTTTAAAAAAAAAAAAAAAACAGTAATAACAAATTCAAGGCATTGCAGGGAGAGAGAGAATAAAGAAGAGAATAGAGATTGGATATGATCAAAGGAAGTTATTTGCATGTAAGAATATGCCACAATGAAACTCATTATTCTAAATAATTAAAATGCACTAATATTTTTAAAAGATATTATGTTCAGAGCTACTTTACTGTATTTTTAAAATGGGAAAGTTTCTACTAATACCAGAGCAAATTCAAATGCTTTTTGAGTATCAGTAGAGGAATTTTATAAAACCTCTGGTTTATGAAGCTTGGGTGTGGTTCCTTATTTGTCAGTCTGTGAACCCTCCACCCACAATGAAAACCACATGCACTCTACAGTGCGTTTGGAAAGAAAGTTAAAACCAGATCTAAAAACGAAGTCAAAAGCAAGAGAGAGCTGAGGACTATTCCTTGTTCAAAAATTTCTGGAGACGCTTTACATAAATGTAGTTACATTTTAACAAAGGAAATTATTTCAACAGGAAAATATGACAACCTGGGAGTATTTAAGTCTAAGACAAACAATGCAATTAATAAATGTGAAATGAGCATGTAAATGATTTTTTGTTGTCAACAAAGCTAAAAGAACAAAGTATATTTACACTAATAAGTACATAAAAAAATGGAAAAAAAAGTTTTTGTTTTGTTTTAATAGATTCTTTTACTTTATTTATTTGTTTATTTATTTATATGTGGTGCTTAGGATCAAACCCAGGACCTCACACATGCCAGACAAGTGCTCTACCCCTGAGCCACTACTCCAGCCCCAAAAAGTTTTGACTCATTTAAGTCACTGTTAGTATCCTAAACTTAAAAAGATCAACAGGAGTCAGGCTTGGTGACACAAGCTTGCAATCCCAGCAACTCTGGAGGCTGAAGCAGGATGATTGCAAATTTGAGGCCAGCCTCAGCAATTTAGGAAGGCTCTGTCTCAAAAAAACAAAAACAGCTGGGGATATAACTCAGTAGTAAAGCATCTCTGGGTTCACCTCCTAGGACCACACACGTTAAAAAAAAAAAAATGGGTCAACAGGATATTAAGTGTACTCAAAGATACTCATACATCAGGCCAACAAATTCTTTAGCATACAGCCTCACATACAGTCACATTTCAATCTTCACATACAGTCTCTAATGTAAAGGTGAAAGTTGTTTCTTTTGATCTGCCTTCAAATCTTCCTCTTCCTTCTCTTCTTCCACACATATAAGATTTAGCCTAATTCCAATAACTTGTAATCAAAAATTCAATTAATATTGCCCAATAGCGATTTATAGGTTGACTAGGCCAACCAAGCACTTTTTATATGAAGGAGCTTTACCTCGTGCTTTCCATAAGTCACATCTTCCTGCCCTAACCCACAAGCCACTGGACTCCTTGTCCTATGTATTCCATTTTCCTTCAACCCTGAAGAATTAGGGAGTAATAGGAAGGTGAGAAATCCTTCAGAGTTTTTAAAAATCTGTGAAAGCATGTGATCCTCATAAAAATCAGAAGCACTCAAAAGATGGTCAAATAAAAACCACAGTTTTATTCAAACTAGACATTAGTTTGGCTGGCTGATTTTATAATGCTACTGTTACTTCCATAAATAACCTTTCTTTCACCAATACTTTACTTCTTTGTGACTAACAATTCATTATCTCTCATTTGTATAATTCAACCTTGGGGCTAAGACTTCCTTAAGAGTCACATCTATGTCTGATCTATCCTGAACCTTAAGCCATTGGAAAGCAAACACTGTGTCCTATACTCTTTTTTTTTTCTTACTTTTTTTGTTGTTGTTCTTGTTGTAGATGGACAGCATGCCTTTATTTTATTTTTTTTTTATTTTTATATGGTGTTAAGGATCGAACCCAGTGCCTCACACACGCTAGGCAAGTGCTTTGCCACTGAGTTACAGCCCCAGCCCGCCTATACTTGTTTTAATATTCTTGCCCCATCTCATACATAGTGCTGTGCACTTAATAAGCACCTTTAAAAAACATTAACTAGGAAAAATATTCATTTTTGATGTCCATTCCTAGGAGATGAGAGTATGTATGTATGATGGGGGAGGGTTGGGATAGAGCTGACTTTGTATGCAGAGTTGGAGGATGGAGCTGTCCTCATAGAAGGGGGATCTGCTACCTATGTTTGGGGTGCAGAGGGAAATCTGTTCTTGTGGTGGTGGTGGTTTTGTGTTTGGGGAACCATATGTACCAGTCAGCTAATTCACAGCCAAGTGAGCTGAAAGGAAGAGGCAGCACTAGGTCTACTTCACTCCGACCTTCCTTTGTATGTTTTACAGAAAGATAAGTTCCCTGTCATGTCTTTTAGGTATCTCAGAGTGCAAAGGGAAATCTGGTCTATTAGCCATTATGCACATTTTCCAACACAGAATTTCCTCTAACTTCTTATTGACTTTTTTCCTTTCTTTCGGCTCCGTTCCTTTTCCACCTCTTCCTTAAATGCCTTCCCTACATTTTCGGTGATTTTAAAACTATCAGAAACCCAGTATCCTAAAACTAACCAAACCACTCCAAAGTGGGCTTTCGACTTCTCTACCTGGAACAACGGTTCCCGGGTTCTTAAACCCCAGATAAAGGAAAAGGAGGTGAAAAATCGTGATGACCGAGATCCCAGGGGGAACTGATAGTTGGCAGCGAGCAGACAAAGCTGGCAACATGAAAAGGAGAGCCTGGCTCCCCGCCCCGACTGCACACAGAGAAAGAGAAAGGCCAGCCAGGGTGGGGAGCCTGAGACTGGGAAATGTGGAGAGGACCACAAGGAGTCTCGGGAGACTGACAGGAGGCTGAGGAGGGGGCCGAGGGGCTCAAAGGACAGGGCTAGAAAGAGGGCGCCAGAGGGAGGGGAGAGCCCAGAAGGAGTCGAGAAGAGGGCGAGATGAAGGGAAAGCCCGGGATGGCGCGGAGACGGCGTCAGCCAGACACTCACCAGAGCCCGGGGAGGCAGGGCTGGCGGCTGACAGCCGCAGGCGCCCGCCCGGCCAGCGGTCTCGACGCGAGAACCGGAGAAGCCTCAGTGGCAGCAGCCGGCCGGCCAGAAGAAGGGATGGGACTCTCGAGCGGCTCTGAGGTAGGCGCGGTGCAGCGGTTGCGGGAGAAGGACAACAGGAAGCGCCCCAACTGCCGGAAAAGACGGCGGCACAGAGGGGCCAAGGCAACCCGTCCCCGGCCGCTGAAAGGGGCTGCCGCGGCGGCCCGGGACCGAAACTGCGCGTGCGCGAGTCGCGGCCGCGAGGCGGGGTTGCCGAACTGCGCGTGTGCGGTTCCGCCCCACCCACCTTCACCCCTCAGCCCTCGCCAGGTTTCTCTCGCTTGCGAGGTTCTGGTGTGCGGTTTGGGGCGGTCTCGGGGTGGGCTGGGCTGGGCTGCGTTGGGCTGGACTGGGGAAGTTCCCCTTGTTTTGTTTTGGATTTTTACTTTTTGTTTTGAAATAATTGTAGGCGCACAAGAAGTTACAAAATTAATACAGAGAAGTTCCGTATACCCAACACCCACCCAGCCTCTCTCAACATCTTACATAAGGTACAGCATTATCAAATCCAGGAAATTGACATTGGCAAAATACAATTAACTGTATGACAAACATTACTCGGATTTAGCCAGTTTGGTATGTATTTCTGTGAGGGTGTGTGTGTATGTGTGTAATTCTATGAAATATAATCATCGTATAGTTTTCTCCACCCTCCTTGATTTCCTATCATTGTAGCAAGCAGTAAGTTGGCTGGAACTCTTCACCCCACCTACTCTTCCTTAAAGTAAAAGTTAATGTGCTCTACCTGGGATCAGGTGAGCTTCATAGGTTTAGGCTATGGCTGCTGGGAGAGTGTCCCACTGTGCACACACACACACACACACAAAAACTGCTTTTCAATGCTACCCGACTACTTGGACCAAGGTAGGTCCAAAGTTCACTAGCATTTAAACACTGATTCAATCCCTGTGAATTGAGCACAGTGTCAGACTTCTGGAAACAAAGATGAGTTAGACCTTGTCCCTGCAATTTAGGAAGTGACAAAGTATGTGCTCTCAGTCATTCTCCCACATTTTGTGGTATTATGGTTCCCCATTCTCCTACAACTGTGATGAGACCCTGGGACTTGGTTTTCTCCTTCGTGGATGTACAGGTCCCAGGGTTCCTCTTAATGGTGTGAAAAAGGCCTTGAGTTGACTGCTGTCTTTGTCAAAGCCCAGTTTCCTTTTCGCTAGCCTCAGAGAAAATCACTCTACCTTTCATTCTCTGCCCAGATGTATCTCTTCCTCAAAGCCACCTTTCAAAATCTTATCCATCCTTAATTAGCCACTGAATAACAGTCAAACATTTATTTAATACTTTACAGTTTAGGAATAGCTTGTACTCATTCAGTCTCAGTTGATCATCACAATTCTTAAGCAGGTCACATAGGGTGAGTTTTTACAGATAAACTATAAATAGAGAAGCTAAGTGATCTGCTTGAATTCTCATAGCTACTAAGACCAGTAGTAGCCAAGCAGGGAACCCTATTTCCTGACTGCAGATCCAATGCTCTTCTTCCCCTGTTTTTCCTTCTTCTGAAATCCAGCTCAAACCTTACCTTCTCCTTGAAGCCTTCCCAGTTTCAGAGAATTTCATTCTCTGTTCTCAGTTATCTTATATCAATTTGTCTGTACCCCAACTCTAATAAACATTAAAGTTTTCCCCAAAATAGCAAGAATATTCTTGCTGATCTCCTTTCATGAACCCAAGAGATGAAATTTTATCAAGGCTCCAAAAATTATAGTAGGTGGTGTCATTGTTGTTTTCAGTACTGGGAATTGAATCCAGGGTTACTCAGCCACTGAACTACATCCCCAGCCTTTTTTTGAAACAGAGTCTCAGCTAAACTGCAGAAGCTAAACCTGAACTTGCAATCCTCCAGCCTCAGCCTCTCGAGTTGGTGGGAATCATTTTTGTTCTTTTTGCCACCCAAGCAACTGAACTCCTTTCTTATTACCAAGGAGTTGGGATGTAGCCCAATGGTAGAATAACCCTCTTCTCATCATCAAAACTGAAAATTTGATATATCCTGTCTTCTAGTCTCCCTGGCAGATAGAGGACACGGAACCTAGATGCTACTAATTGCTTACATCCACCCCAGACAATGAGTTGGAAACTAAGATGATCTAACCTGCGCTTGCCTCTCTCTCATCCTAGTATTGTGAGATCTTGCCTTTATTTTTATTTAATACTTTTTTTAGTTGTAAGATGGACATAAAACCTTTAATTATTTTTTATATGGTGCTGAGGATTGAACCCAGTACTTTACCCTGAGCCATAACCCCAGCCCTTGCCTTTATTTTTAATTTTGATATTTTGTTCATCATAAAGTGTTTTTCATTTTTATTTTTTTAATATGGCATTGAAATATTACTTATCTTGATTACACTGAGCTTTCCAACCCCCCATCTCTTAAATCTTGTACCCAAGGAACAATGTTTTGCTTACCTGTTCATCTCATCCCTGCCCGGGTTCTGGAAAGATCACTCAGTTCATTCTGGTGAGGGTGGTGGATACTTCATATAGATTTCGAAGTTGATGTGTACCTGGCAACCAACATATCAACCGTCAGTGGTATCGGCCATATCACCTTCAAGATCTGGGCCGAGGAGAGGGGACAGCAGTTTCTTCATTAGACTAAATCGTCAGTGTGATTTTAGGCCTATTCTTTTTTTTTTTTTAATATCTTTATTTTATTTATTTATTTTTATGTGGTGCTGAGGATACCTGGCAACCAACACATCAACCCCAGCACCTTTAGGCCTGTTCTTGCATGCTTTAACAGTAGGCCTGACTCTCTGGTTGTCCCTGGAATTCTGCACACAACTCAGTACCTTTTATTTTTCCTTTTCAATGTCTTCCTTTATATATATATATATATATATATATATATATATATATAAAATCAGTACTAGAGATTGAACCGAGGGGTACTCCACCATTGAGCTATATCCCTCCCCTTTTTAATTTTATTTTTGAGATGGTCTCTGTAAGTTGCCTAGCCTGCCCACTAACTTCTTGTCCTGCCTCAGCCTCCTGAGTAGCTGGGATTATAGGGAAGGGCCACCATGCCTGGCTTCAATATCTTTGTTTAAAAGTCCTTTTTTGTATCAATTGGCCAGAGTTAGTTTGTTTAATTTGCACTTAATAACTCTAACCAATGCAATAGCCTCTTGTTATCCTTGTCCAAGGGCTTCTGAAAATAAAAATGTGTAACATTGCTGTAATTTTATTCATCGTACAGATTGTGTGGCAAAGTCACCTGCACTTCGTGACATCATTTGAAGTACCAGGGGTTAAAGCCATAGACCCAAAAGACTATAGATAGACTCTCACCATTTTAAATTTGCTGCAAAAGCCAGGTACTGTAGCCAAGCCTATAACTCAAGAGGCTGAAGCAGGAGGATAGCAAGTATGAGGCCAGTCTGGGTGACATAATGAAACCCTGTCTCAAAATAAGAAAATAAAAAGGATGGGGATGTAGCTCATTGGTAACCCCTGGGTTCAATCCCTAGTAGCACAATTAACTAATCAATATAATTGCCACAAAAGAGCTGAAGATGTAGCTCAGTGGTAGAGCACTGGATAGCATGTACAAGGCCCTGAGTAGAATCCCCAGTATGACAATACAAAAGTCTGATGCAATCACACATGCCTGGGGCCCCAGTGACTCAGGAGGCTGAGGGAGGAGGATCACAAGTTTAAGGCCAACTTGGATAACTTGGTGAGACCCTGTCTCAAAATAAATAAATAAAAAGATTAGGTATGTAGCTCAGTGGTAGACCACCCCCTGGGTTTAATCCCTAGTATCGCGAAAAAAAAAAAAAAAGATTGCCACAAAATATCAGAGAAAACCTTGGTATTATTTGAATAAATAATACCAGCACCACAAAAAAAAATAAAATAAATAAAAATAAAGTATTGTGTCCAATTACAACTAAATATATGTATATATAAAGATACACAACTTATGTATTTACAACTGGACCTTTCACTTTAATCAAGAGAATAATAACTTTCATAAAAAGTGCTTTTTTATTCTGCAATGGAGTTAGGCAAGAAGACAGAGGTTGGGAATAAAAGTTCGGTTATCCAGCTAATAATGTCTACTATGATAGTATATATTATCTTGCTCTTCTCTTTTCATATAACTAATCTATTTGAAGAATTGGCATACAGCAGAACCACCCTTATGGTTTTCTGGTTAATGAGAACGCTGACCAGAGACAGTACCTATATATTCCTATTCTATATTGTCTCTGCCTTCAATATCATTCACTTGATCAAGGCTTCTCAGGTTTTTTTTGTTTTTGTTTTTGTTTTTTTGGCACTGCTGGGGATTGAACCCAGGACCTTGTGCATACAAGACAAGCACTCTACCAATTGAGCTATATCCCCAGCCCCAGGCTTTTCTCAGTTTTATAACAGGTTTCTCAAAAACTATTGGGGGAAAAAAATACAATGTTCTAGCGTACGAAATCATTCTTCCACATGGGACTTCAGTTATTTGGTGAGAATTTTTTATCTTGCTGTTTTCCTCAGTTTCTGACCCAGTAGCCTTTCCTTTCTCTTTAAACTTTGTCCCAAATCGTTCTTTGTCCTAAGGGAATCACTTATGTGACCAGCGGTATCTCAGCCTCTTGGGAAGAACCACAGCTCTCAGATTGACAGGTTGTTTTAGCCCATTGCAGTGTGTGCCCCACCCACTGGGGGAAATGGCAGCAGTTGAATATGCATGTTCCTTCCATAGGAGGACAGGAATTGGTCTGGCTACACACTAGAAGTGCACACAAATCCCCTGAAATTTGGTGAAAATGCAGATTCTAAGACTAGGGATGTAGCTTAGCCCAGAATGCATGAGATCTTGGATTTGATCCCCAATACCACCACCACCACAACACCAAATGCAGATTCCAGTTCAAATGGTCTGGGGCAGAGCCAAGATTCTGCATTCCGAACAAGCCCTTGAGTGATGCTAATGCCACTGGTGCAAGTTCCATGCTTGGCGTAGCAAGGAACTTGAACATGTATTTTGGTGAAAAATAAGGGGAATGTGCCCATGATCCTGTAGGGTGATGCTGTGAGACTTTAGGGCACATTTAAGGAAACACTCTTCGAGGCCACCCCTGCACTCATATACAACCCTGAGAATGAGGGCATCCTTATTGTTAGGTCAGTGGTGGCGACTTAGAACAAAGCAGCCTGCAGGGGAAAGAAACATGAATCAGGTGCCTGCGGAAATGCCTGTCAATCAGCAGGACCCCCTGGCCAATCCTGGAGTTCAGCCAGATCCCCTGACCAACTCCAATGGGACAAGGGACTCTAAAAACACCTTTTCCTGTCCCAAGCCCTTCCCTTCCTGCTGTAAGCCCCATAAAAGTCCAGTCCAGTCCAGTCCAGCGCGGTTTCTTCTCAGACCCTTCTCCTGTCCACACTTGTCTGTCCACCCAGGAGTGATATCTCAATAAAGCCTCATTGGGTGGCCTTTTTAAATCTGCCTCCTCTGGTCACTGCCCACCTCGCCTGATCTGACATTTATGTTGGACATCCAAGGACCCTTGTTCGCCTACCCACTGGTAACATACCCATCAAGGAGTAACATTTTGGTGGGTATCTCTTTTCACCTGTGCTCATCCTGGGGATTGAACCCACAGCCTCATGCTTGCCAAGCACATGCTCAACCACTGAACTACATTACTAGTCTGCACCTCCAGACCACTTTCTTTGTTTTCATTTTTATGTTTGTTTTGTTTGGGTACTGGGTACTGAACCCAGGGGCACTTTACCACTGAGCTACATCCCCAGCCCTGTTTTTGTTTTTAATTGTGCTGGGGATCCAACCCAGGGCCTTGTGCATGCTAGGCAAGTACTCTACCACTGAGCCACATCCCCGCCCAGCCCTTTTTATTTTGAGACAGGGACTTACTAAATTGCTGATGCTGGTCTTGAGTTTGTAGGCCTCCTGCTTCAGCCTCCAAAGTAACTGGGATTAGAGGTGTGTGGCACCATGCATGGGTCCAGACTACTTTCTAATACAAATATCACATATGGGATTATTCTGTATATGGTTACGGTATCATACTGTTCTCACTTATTCACATACATCTAATTGTGCTGTTTTAAATCCTCAAAGTTTGACCATTTAATGTCACAAACTAATAATTCTGTTCCTCAAAAAAAATGCACACTTTCTCTGAGTATAGAGATTATGAAAAGTTATTTTCTTTCTTATACTTTTCAGATTTTCCACATGGATTCCACATGACCTTTTGATTCCATTTTTATTATTATCAGAGTAATACTTGTACAGACTTGAAGAGATCGGGTGATCTTCAAAACGTATGGTGAACAGCAATTTCCTACCCTGCTGGCTCCCACTAGATTTACTTAGCAGAAGCTTTCAGTACTTGTGGTTGTTTCTGCTACTGTTCACCTTCTTGTTTCTAATTAATACTAGAGAGCTATTTCTTAAATTTTTATTTTAGATCTTTTTAAATTTCCTTGTTGGATGTGAAGATTTAACTCATACCATAATTTCCATACAACTTCTTCTACCACTGCCACCCCTTTTAAACCAATATTCAGTTTTTACAATGGAGCCAACTTACTTTCTTGTACCATTTTTTGTTTTCCCTGGAATTAATAATTGCCTTATTTTTTTTCCTTTCCTAGTTTTTTTTTTGGGGGGGGTGGGGGTGTTTTTGTGGTAGGTACTGGGGATTGAATCCAGGGGTGCTTTACCACTAAGCTACATCCCTAGTCCTTTTTTAAGAATTTTTTTATTTTGAGACAGGGTCAAACTAAGTTGTTTAGGGCCTCACTAAATTGCTGAGGCTAGCCTTGAATTTGTAATCCTCCTGCCTCAGCCTCCCAGATCTCTGGTATTATAGGATAATGCCACCATGCCTGGCCCTAGTTTTGTTTCTAAATGGCTATCACTGATTTATCTGCAAGCTCTCTGCCAAAACTTACATTTCTAAGATTATGGTCAAACTCACAATCTGTTAGCTCCGTTTTTCTCTCTAGTGTCATCCTTCCTGGAACTCCCTGTATTCATAAGGATTCTCCAGAGAACCCCAGTAGATGCCCCAAACCATCTTTTTGGAATGCTTTACTCAATATTTTTTCCTACACATATATACCTATGACAAAAAGTTTAATTTATAAATTAGGAGCAATAAGAGATTAACAACAAGCCAGGCATGGTGGTGCACACCTGTAATGCCAGTTACTGAAGAGGCTGAGGCAGGAGGATGGAGAGTTTGAAGCCAGTTTGGGCAATTTAGTAACACTTGGTCTCAAAATTAAATTTCAAAAAGGGGCTGGGGGGGATTGGGGTTATGGCTCAGTGGTATAGCGCTTGCCTAGCATATATGAGGACCTGGGTTCGATCCTCAGCACCACATAAAGATAAATAAATAGGGCTTGAGTCGTAGCTCAGTAGTAGAGCACTTGCCTAGCACATACAAAACCCTGGGTTTGATCCTCAGCACTATATAAAAATAAATAAATAAAATGAAAGATATTGTGTCCATCTACAACTAAA